GTCCTGTATTGGGTCCTGTGCCGTTTTGTGTCCTGTCCCGTTTTGGGTACTGTCCCGTTTTGTTTACTGTACTGTCCCGTTTTGGATACTGTCCCGTTTTGTTTACTGTACTGTCCCGTTTTTGATACTGTGTATTGGGTCCATTGCCGTTTTGTGTCCTGTCCCGTTTAGGGTACTGCCTATCCCGTTTTGTATTCTGTCCCGCTTTGGTTAATGTACTGTCCCGTTTTGTATTCTGACCCATTTAGGGTACTGTACTGTCCTGTTTTGGGTCCTGTGCCGTTTTGGGTCCCGTGCCGTTTCGGGTAATGTCCTGATGTTAGGTATTTGTTTGTTTTCTGTCTGTTCACAGTTTTAAAGTCTACGAATAGGATTAGTTAATGCTCTTTTAAACATTGGTTTTCAACCCAGTCATTCATCTTGATACTTGTTCATGGGGAGATACAGATCTTCATTTCGAAACTAATGCCAAAATATTATTTACTGATCTAGAATGATGTTTTGAACCAGTCAGTGAACAATTAACGTAACCGGAACACGTCCCCTCTTGTCCTTCCTTTCACCTCTTTCTTCATCCCTCCCTCTTTCTCTTTGCTGTTTCATTTCATGTCAGTTACTGGTATACTACATATATCTTTAACTTTTTTACATCACGCGTTATCTATAGATGTCCTGTGTTTTAGAAGGGGACTTGTGAGTTGTCAGAACTTATTCCCAAATCCTTTGGTTGCTTTTTTTTCAATGTAATATATTGGAAGGAACTTTTTGCAATCCCTTTCATCATAATGACACATTTATGTCATATATTCGAAATTGAAAAGTTTACACCAAATTTCGCGTGTGCATATTTTCGCGCTGATTCAGCCTGTGCAGCGAGCCAGAAGTAAAGTAGATCACATATACACATGCTTGTGTCAACCCACAATGACAAAATCGAAAAAGTCTATTTAACGAGACAATGATCTCACGCCGAAGATGTCCCTGCACGCGGGTTTGAATTCCGTTGCATATTCATTTTCATTTTAAAATATGGTTTATTTGCGTTTCTAGCGTAAACATTCACTTTCGATCTATAATTATGATACTCTATAAGAAACAAGCTGTAGACACTCAACACAGTGTAATCTATCTTAGAAATGAAGACTAGGAGTTAAAGAGTTACAATGTGACCAATGTTTGGCTTCACAGCGACAGTTTCGAACTGAAACCAAACTGTTGGTGACCTGTACCATTTTCGTCTAGCCCGGCTTTCAAAACGGTTTGACTATTTAGATTAGAGTTGTTATTTAAGAAACAGGGGCGCATCTAATGGAAAGATGTTACATCCTTGTTGGATTTAAAAAAGAAATTGTAAGGCCTGCATTAACATCTTCAAGTCCGCCGGCGGGACATATTCCAATATAATGTTATATCTTAAAACCTGACGAATATATTTAAACGAAACATTTCCCGAACTCTGTGATATTTGTTAATGCTTTTTGTTGTTTTGTTTTTAGAAATGGGAGGATCTGATGTGTTCGTGTTTTAGAGACTTTGCATTATCCCACGATCATTTTTAACGTGTTATTTGGTATTCATTATGTGTTTAGGGGCATTAACTAATTCAGTCTAAGAAGGAGCCTATTTACCCATTGCAAACCTATTATAAATTGTGTCAAGAAACATGTTCAAATATGTGCACACCACTTCGAAAATACTGTAAAACTGGAAATTTTCACCTTCGGAAATGTTCGCGTTGTGAATGTTTCGCAACAGCAATAATTCTAAAACCTCTGTATTATTCTATATATCTCTTATCTACATAATCTATGAATATGTGAATTTGCGGGTGGATAGTTTTACGCTAAATTACTCAAGGCATAGACAGGAGGTAGCATTCCCAAGACTTGAACATTTCCCATTATGCAGTATTCAATTAATCATTAAAGGCAAACATCCAAATGATCTCCTTTTATGAATTTCAAACTAAGTTCGGCAGCGCACCTGAAACTTTGCAGCATATTTTGGTCAGGTAAAAAGCGTTTTTGATTAAAGCGTCTTTATTCATTGTGTGTACCCTCGTTTAAACGCTAATTCCGAGAGAGAAGTTAAATATGTAGATACTTATACTATAGTATCACAGACAGGGGAGACAAACTAAAACCACTTTGTGTTTTTTGGTAGGTTATTTGTTACCTGTACTATCGAAACAAAAAAGTAGTTTCTCCCACTAAAACTGAAAGGAACGGCAATTAAAAACTTAATCGGATCTTGGACGATTAATTATTTGACGGTAAACGATATGCCCTTGAAAGTACGAGCAAAGGTTCCTCATTAATGATAAAAACTAAATGCTTGTCTATCGATCGATCCTTCTGCGAATGATAATAGGCCCTCAGAGAAGAGGCGATGTTTCGCTCTCTACCGTTGTAATGAATAGACCATTAAGTGCTAGTAAATTAATGGTAGCTCAGAAAAAGTATAGAATTCATAATAAATCACACTTGTAGAGTACTTTCATGTCATTATAAAAATGTTCTCTAAGCCACAACTTAATCAGTCGCTATCTGCCCTTTCTGGGGAAAATAAAACGTTTTGAAGCTTGAAATAAAAGTGCAAAACAGCATGGTTACAAGCATAAAATATATACTTTAGCTTGATAAACACTAAAATGTGATAAATGTCCGTTAATTATTTTTTTAAAGTTTAAAAAGTTTCAAGTTCACTAAGAATTTCATAATTATTAATATCCCCTTATAATACGTTAACGTAAACATCAATTAAATAAATCCAACGTTTTAATGAGTCTTTGTTAGGTTTGGATCAAATTGTGGCCTAATATTTATAATTCTAGATTTACTAGTCGCGCAAAACCTTTGACGTTATCAATATCCAACGACCACGGATTGTCCTAACGTATTAACCCAGCTCGCCAAGAACAATTATGAGTCCATTGTATTGTTGTAATTACCTATCTCGCCAAAATTATCGATTTTCACAGTATACAGCCCCAAAAGTACGCATTTAGTCTACTCTGCATTAGGAGTGGCATCGCTCTTCTCTTTAATCATAGCGGCCATAAAGACAATCTTTATAGCAATGAACCGCTCTGTCTAATTGGCGAAAGGTGTCGGTCCCCTATATCCTTCACAAAAACCAATCAGACTGCGCATGCGCTTTAATGGCCGGTCTGTCGATACGGGATGACGACCACGAGGGTTCTAATTAAAGTGAAGTCTGTCCAATTGTAGCCGGAGAAATTTGTCCGATCAATTCAGTCGTTCATATACAATTATAACGTTCTGAGGTGCCAGACCGCCATTCCGTACCGAACTGTGTCTGTTCACGATAATCGGTAACATGTCTGACCTTCGTATTTCACGTTTGGCTGGTTTTAATCTTGACAAGTTTAAACAATTAGGGGCTAACGAACGTAGCAATGAGGCCTAAGAAATAAACATGGCTAAACTTTATCGAGGGTTAATACCTAAACGGTGAAACCCTAAGAACCTAAAGCAAATGTAAATAATATTTTAATCACGTACGAAACTAACCATGAAGGTTAAATATAGGCTAAATACAGCTTACAGAAGTACGAAACTAAAATGATAGGTTAAAGCAAAATTAAAATATAATCCAGTTTGAAGCTAAAGTGACGATTTAAGCACCACAAAGTAGAAATTAATGGAGAAAAATGGCAACCAATTAAGATTTTAAATTCAGAAGGAAATTAAAAGAAAAGTTTCTCCCTAAACACTTCCAAAAACTGAAACTTTGACAGGAAACTTTGAGCTCTTGAAGTTAAACTTTATTTATTGTAAACAATTACAAATATTAATCGTTTGTGTTGGTTCAAGAAACTGGAGTATTCAGAGAAACCTATGTGGTCGGGCAGGTGACTCGATATTTTTTCACGTCAGTTCAAAGAATCGTACCCCGACCTCCTTGATGAAAGGCGAATGCACTGTCAACTGCGCCATTCGACCCAGTTTTGAGCGTCATGACAAAAGCTTTGATAAAACCTGTCTGAAAATATAATGCGGAACTTTTCCAATGAGTAATTATAAAATAGACATCAGCTAGTGTTCAGAATGTGAAATTACGGCAAAAATAAGAAGGGGATTCGAGCCCTGGACCTTCGATCATCGTACAACTGTTAGTTATATCCAAAAATAAATTAAGGGGAGGTAACTGTATATTGAGAAGACAATAGTGAAATTAGCTATTGTTTTTGACTGCAGCGGGGCATGGATCCTTAAGTTAGACTGATAGGATACACGTACTTTACGAAGGTACGTATGCATCTAAGATAACAGGTTATAACGATATTAAAATATATTTTGCTAGGGTACATATCATCTCTTACGCTAAAGTTAAATTCAACTTAATATAAATTAAGTACGAAAATAAACCTAAGGGTAACGTAAACAAATCAAGATTGATTAAACTCAAAAAGTACAAAAATCATACATCAGGTCGCTGGGACTCCAAACCAACACTGTTGCTTAAGGTAAAAATAAATAAAAGTGTCTGAGAATGGCGCTTCGACGGAGAAAGGACCTATTCAATCATTTGTCAATGTAGACAGTAAAATAAAGTAAAATTTCAGTCACAATTCTAAAAGGATACCTACATCATAATAGCGATTGAGGGACGAGTTTGAGTGGGCGAGTACGTAATTACAATTGTTTCTATGATATACCCCGAAGTTTGTTATCAAGAAGAATAATAATTTTGTTTTGAATGGCCTCTTTACATACCTAGTATGTTTATACACCTATTTACCATATCTAATCGATAGCGATTCATTACTAAGTTGACATTTGAAATAATGATTTAAAGTGTTTTTTTTTATTTACAACCGTCATAGTTATTGTATGATTGGTTTTAATTAAGACATGAAAAATTAATAACACATGTTCATCTCTATTGATTTTAGAATAAAACATCTCGTTCTAGAACATTACTCTATTACGGGTCTACAATATGAAAACAAAACGCAAACAACGTAATACGGCAAGACAAATTTTGCACATGTGCCCATTTTACTAGTTTTTAATTCATGGAAGGAAAATACATCACTTTTATGTACTTATCTTATTTATATCATAATAGTTATCAAACAGATAAATAAGTAAATCATCTGTTTTTATCTCACATATTTGTCATAATGCATTTCTTATGGCGGTTTCTAGAATCATTTTGTTGCATTAAAGTTACAACCTGAGAAAAAACGTTGAACATATATGAAATTATTTTATGCACTGGTCTCTATACCCCACTTACGTAAGCCCTTCATCATTTCAATCATTAATTAACAAATTAAATTTCATCTCATTTCTCACAGATACAGGCCATTCTTTGGAACAATGCATTTCCCCCAAATTGTTGTTGGTAAAAAGCATGTAGATTCGAAAATAGTTGACGTTTCCCCGTCTGATACATTGTAATATTACGAAATAAATGTTTGCTCTCTCGAATAACAAACAATTTTATCATGCTTGACGTCACATTTAACAATGATGCGACATCACGAAATCGAACACATCCCGATGCCGCGATGCCGAAACAGACGACGCTTTTTTATATTTCTGGGCTAGTTCTGGTGAAGTGAATAAGAGAAAAATTATCTTTCGTGTCAAGGGGTGTAGGATAGGGAACTCCATCCTTGGGATTTTCAAAATTGTACAAAACCGTCAGCAAAGCATCGGGGTTTCACTCAATTTAAAAAATCCCTATACTCTTCTGCACGAAAAACATTATTTTTAATACAGGGACTTTGGCACGTTAACACTGGAATATCGTACTCATTTCATGATAATACAATGGCGAATACAGGTTAGATATTACGGTGTTAGATCTATATTTCAGCATTAAATGTGACGTGAAATACAGTAGCCTATCCCTTGCTCACATATCATGTTGTAAACGGTAATTCTACTTTGTCTCGCGTTTTGTTTCTAACAATATCGTGATATTGAGTCAGAGTAAACATTTTATTCTATAAATATGAGCATAATTTTGACACAATTACACCATTCTGTTAATAAATAAATAATATATGTGCAGATACCGGTGGTATTTTGTCCCATAAGGGAAGATAATCGACACGCCCTTTCAGCATTCCTGTATGACTTTATATGTTAACAGGAAACATTTTGTAATGGCAACCGGAGAATAAATTTCCATATCAACACGTTTTTGAGATCACATGAATAAAAACATATTTCACTTGAAATTTCTATCATAGAAACGTTGCGCAGTTGCCATATATATTGATTGCATTTTATAACTCGGTCTTTGTGTGGAGCTATTTAACAGTTTTAAAGCAAACATGTTTGCAATCACAAATGTCCTTGCATTACGGTTAATGTCAATGTAACAATCGGTTAATAATACCATTACACTCTCCACTGGTGTCTATAACTGTATTCCGCTCTCTAGAACAAGTCCTTTTGATGTACACCGCCCTAATGATAGCAGTAACCGATTCGCTGCCTGTCTCTCTAATTCCTTTTCCTCAGCTGTCTGTCGTCTGCAAAGATACAAAGGCAGTATATAGTTGTATTATAGACTTATAGACCCAGACTGGTAGGATATGTAATAACACATTCACATAAAGTGTCCATTTGTTACAGGCCTGATTACATCTTGTATGACATCACAAAGAGCAATAAATGACGTCACAAATTCACAGAAAGGCAAGCTTGCGGTATATTAACAAAATCAGTAATGTTACATTCGACAACGTTGAACACAATATGTCATGTAGATACAATGTTTAATCTCTTCATATTTCATTTATCGAATATTCTTTCACTAAGTCATATATGTTCATAAAATCGTTGTCATGTGGTAGATTTTGAAGGGATTTACGATAATGGAATTATAAACATTTATAAACAATTTGTCAATTTTAAAATATCTGCACTTGTCTCACATGTAAAATATAAAGCTCGAAATTGAGGAAAGTCTAGATATGTACTTACGAAGATCAACCAAATTACATTTTGCATTCACTAGACACAGGAACTTTGACACAAATATAATCTCGTACCTGTAACTGATCGAGATCGTTGTAATCTCAGTGGAGAGCTGAGATTATGTAACATGACCCAAATTGAGGCGCAATCTGAGGTTAGGTTGTTACAAAATCTTAGCCCAGAGTTTGTATTTGCACCATATCTTATAATTAACCTTTGGTAGCATTAAGGTTCATCTTCTTTTAAGAGGATTTTGTTTAAATTTTTGTGCAAGTCTTTTACAATTTCGAATGAAAAGGCAACAACGTCTTACTAACAAGAAGTAAGGGAAGTTCTCAAGTTAGTAAAGTAAAACATAAGCTTGCTCGTTAGTCAAGAAACTAGGGTCGTTATCAGACGAAAAAGAAATAACACCCTACCTCCATTTTGTGCGTCTGTTTTGGAACCACGTCTTCACCTGAGAATCAGACATCTTAAGGGATTTTGCAATCGACGATCGTTCGGATGACGCCAGATATTTCTGCTGTTCGAATCGTCTCTCCAGCTCCATAATCTGTAGTCTTGTGAACGAAGTTCGAGGTTTCTTCCGTTTTGGGGGCGTTCTGTTCTGGTAGGGGTGTCCTATTCTCCGGACTAGATAACGAAAAAAACACAATCATAAATAACAATGGACTTTATTGTTAGATAGTCAAAAACATTTCTTTGGTTATTCAAGATGTAAAGCAGGCCGTTGGCGACATTGGGTCGACGCCCTTCGAGACCAAATGTGACATTAATAGAAGGATTATGTATTAGGCAGTCATTGAAACGTAGCAGGTTACGCAAACTTGATGACATATTTGATGTAAATGTGTTGTCAGTGTGACCTTTTTTTTCGAAAATGTAAATTTTACTGTTATTCGAATGTTATGCAAATAACAAATGTATTTTCATCAACAAACAACTTTGACTTTTTATTTAAACATTCTTCAAGAAATATGTCAAATGTTTATCCTTTCGCATCACCAGACGTTCTCTCCTTTTGTTCTGTTGAGGGAGTAGACGTGAATGAATTGAATGAAAAAAGGCACAACGTAAATACCCTTCATGCACCCGATATGTCTCAATATTTTATGACAAACGATAATAAGATTATATCATATTAATAATTTTGAAACGAAATTACATTTAAGTAATACTCGACTAAAATAATATGAACATTTGAGAAAATGAAAAATTGATAAACGGTGTAATTATTATCATTATAATCTAGGGAAATCGGCAGTAATGAGACTTGTAAGGTATGTATTCAACATTATATATTTCTGCGTCCCCGTTTGATATAGCATACCTTCTTAATTTGAATAATTTTGCCTATTCAAATCGTTAGCTCTCCTCCATGTTTCCAAATCTCCGAATTGTCCATATGAGTTATTTTATTTCATTTCTCTTTTTATTTACATTCAATGAAGTCTTCAGCAAACCCTGATTTTAGTTGTTGGACTATTGATTACGTGTCAGAAGTGTTTGGGAGTTAGTTTTGATGCGTAATAGAAGGCACAACTGACAAAACGCTTTTCAAATACACGCCTTATCACATCTCGCCAATCATGTTTTTTTTAACTATAACAAATTATATGTTGTGTAGGGTTATGCAATAAAGAAAAGAATTTATCCGAAGGTACGTGTCCAACTTTCATTGTGACTGGAGTTTTGTAATCTTTAAATATCAAAGGAATGACCAAAATGTATAACCTAAAGGTACATGTTTCCTTACGTGATATGGGTGTGCTGTGGTGTTAGTTGCCTCCCTTGAACAACTTTAATTACTTTGTCAATATTGTAACCTTAATGATATCGTAGCATGTATTAATTACACACTGTGACCTAAGCACTATGAGAACATGTTTTTGTGTAATTTTCAGGAATAAATTGTTTCACAGTTGCCATTTTAAAGGTAAAGGTGCATGGAGTTCTTTTTAAAAGTAGATTCATATCACAGTCAGACATCGTATATCCTTAATATGAAATCAATTTCTAAAAATCATTTCAATATTGTCTAGATTAAAACAATAATTTTGTACGATGAATTCGATGTCGTAATTTCAAGATATTGGCTGAAGTATCGGTACAAAAACACTATTAATATCAAAATAATGAAATATGCTTTACATGTTAATCATGTATAACTGTCACTATGATATTCATAATACCAAAGCAAATAGTAACCACTCCATGGCAGGCCCCTTCGGTCAATGAAAACATTTTCCGTAATATATCAGCTAAGATTTTTTTCCTCAACTTAAAGTTCCCCATAGATTTTAAATACTTCATTTTGAGAAAAGTCTTAGATTAGCAAGGCTAGGGAACCTGGACATAATATGTGATAACGTCTCGTTATTGGAGGTAATGATATAGTATCAAAGAAAAAATGTAATATTGTCTGTACTATACAGTACATATATTCAATTATCACAAGAATGTGTAAAAAAAAATGTTTTTAATTTACATAACCCTTCGACCAGGTGACAGAGTTGTAACCAGGACAAATGTTAGTTAGTATTCAATAGTATGTGGTACGCAAATAAGATGTTGTATTATTTTCGCGAGGAATCACGAATTCAAATGTCACACAGGTATTTGTTTGGTTTAATACCTGTGACCACATCTTTCGTCAATGTTGTCTAAAGCCGTGTTTCATTACCACAAGTTTTATCATGTTTAGGATGTTTCACTTATCTAATATCACTGGTGTACAACAGTATATGTTTCAAACTTATCAAAATTACAAAAATCAATAAAAGGTGACAAGTTTGTCTGTTTTATCATTTTTAACCAATAGAGATGTGACGTCATATTTTTATGCTGTTCCTGTATTGAATTGACATCCTCGAATATAAGTGCAAAATTAAAGAATTCCCGCATAGTTATCGATTTTTATTACTAAATATTTTTTATTAAAAAACGAAAATGGACAATTGTAAATAACAATAATGGTACCCCTTTTTATACTGAATATCATATTAAAGAATATACCACAAAATAAGCTTTCGCAAAAATTAAATATAATTAGGCATACACTATTGATATTAGAAAAACACTATAAACGATATAATGTGAAAAATGCTCGAACGCTCTCCACTGACAATCTTCCGTTTTACTGAATATGACAAATTTAACAAGGCGAACACAAACTATGAATGGAATGTAATATAGTCTGTAGTCCATTATGGAAATGGTTATTGATAATTTATATCATTGGAAATAGGACAACTAACTAACAGCAGTAAAATCCCTCTTCTTTATACCAACATTTATTTCTTCTTAGACTGTGTTTAAGAGAGAAAACATAAATTGGTAAATAGTTGTAAAACAGATGTTCATGTGTCTCACTCGATCACGTTAATAAAGCCACATTGTTTAAATGTCTGTCTGCTGCTGCCAAGCTTTGAATGATGTACGTAACATACAGAGGTGATATCACCTTTCGTGTTAGATACAGTACGCCAAAAACGAATTACACTTCACGATATGTACCAAAAACGTATTTGAAATATTATAATTTGGAGGATCTTGCACTTTTTCAAGTACCACCCTTTCCAACTTGGCACAAACTATTATTAGAACTGAAGGGAATGTGCATAACACCTCTTAATTCTTGAATTTCAAAACACAGATTAGTACTGATTAATCTCAGATTAATAATAAGTGCGAAGATATACTATGAACAGTGTCATTACTCAAAAGAGATTACGTGGTCATCAAGGTTCAAACAAGAAATTGAAAAGATCATTTTAGTTTCGGTATTCAATCGTGACCTTTAATGAAACATTAGGTACTCGCAAATAATTAGGGTAATAACATATCATGTCTTCAACACACAATTATAAGAAAGGAGTTAGGAATTTCAATAAAAAAAGGTCACATTTATCGAGGAAACATCAAGGTGAAAGGAAACATATGGGCTTCTGATAAAACGTCATTGATGTAAGCAGATCTCTCAGACAGATGATGTTTTCGTGGGCAAAAGATGGAAACGATATTATCTCATTAAAATTTTGTATACCTTAGATTGTACATGTGATGATATTACCCAATACGAACGGTTTATTCGGGAAAAATACAATATATACAGTGGACATTACATAGTTTAATCATTTGATTAGTCTTAAGGTTGCACTCCTGCAAGATTTGTTTGTTTGATTGCTTGTTTGTGCCTATTAACAGCTATGGTCATTTAAAGACGTGCAAGGATTTTGCATTACTTCATGAAAAAAAAAAAAAAAAGTTTCTTGATTTTAAGTAACTCGTCCAATCTCTTTCAGAATGTGTGTCTAACGAGACACCGAAACAAAATGAGAAACACCATGCACCTTCCTCAGAAACTGAAAACAAATTATGCATCAACAGTGAAAAAGATTTTGTAAAAAAAAACATACTTGGTTGCATAGCAACAAATTATCACACACCTTATATGAAAACCTAAAGCTTGTCGTGAAGTGCTTTATTCTTTGCGAGTAATCTCATTACCACTATAATCGCAGATGATCAATTTCTGCAAAAGTAGTGAGCGTAGTTATTGTGTATGTGGATGGGAGCTCATTATATTCCTCAGATAAGATCGGGATTTTAAAAAACCAAATAATGATTTTTGTGCACATCTGTGAAATATTGAACCCACGAGAAAAATACCTTAACATCATCAAAAGGTTATTTTTTCCTGATGTGCTTGCGGTATCTTTGTTAAACTTTACTATTTGTCATTTCGTCTTCTCCTGCTATTTATAAAATTATTTATTTACTTCCATTTGAATACATTCATATGGATTTTAAAGAATAATGACATCACCTAAAGCTCTTTTTTATTTTATTTCACATACTTATATGTTAAAAATTGAAATTCTTGTGTTTGAAAATGTTGGCATTTTGACCCAGCTAATCGCGATGTGAACTGATTGTGACGGCGTTAGTTCTGAACTCTATAAATACAAAATTCAAATCAAAAGCAAATGCCTGACTGCTTGTTGTTTCTGCCTTCTGGGCTTCTTCATGCCGACTGATGTTTATAAGTCACCGTTAATTACTACACATCAGTCCACACGAAGAAGCCCAAAAAGACAGAAAGGCCTTGCAGTCAATCTTGTTTGTTATTGTATTTTATATTTCCTTTCGAATGACTTTACTTTATTATCTACAATAAGATCTCGCTCTATATATAAATATTCGCGTGTAGAAATTTGGCGAATATTTCCACTTCACAATTATTTCTCTAATTAAAGAAACACAAATAACGGCGCCGGCAACCGATTATTTTGCAAAGCGCTTTAAAAACGAAATGTGTACAAACTAATTTAAGCCTGCTTAGTCGTCCGATACGAGTTACCCCAGACGCTGGGGATAGAACCCATGACAACTTGCAAACCGGGTTCAAACGCTATCAAATGCTCAAGAACCCACGTCCACAGGGGCTGGCTTTATTGGTAGATGTTTAATATAGATTTGTTTTGGTTCAAGTTTTATTTGTTGAAATAATACTAAATATGTGATCACATGCAACTGAACCCCATAACGGCACGTTTTTATATGTCTGTCATTTCATTATCAAAAATGAACGCCGATTTTGTTATTTGGATACCGTTATATTAATATGGTGTATCATGATTAAGGGTCGTGATAGGAATCACATTAACACAGATAATATGAACATAACTTTACAACGACTAGTTTAGATAAACGCACAAAAACAAACAGTAAATCGATATCGTGCTTGCTCGAACGTTGCTGTTGTTTATGTAGTGTGTGTGTATTAACCGCGGTAGAATAAACAATTAAAATACAATTACACCACTCTATAAAAAACATCCTCTCCACAGCTTGTCAACACGGTTGTTTAGTATCACTAACTAATGCTGTACATAATAATTCAATAAATTACAATTATGTTGCTTTGTGTCTATAATAACCTCACACCTAATGCTATAAATAAGAAATGAGGTTTGTCATTGAAGAATTAGAATAATTAAAAAGAAATGGTATTTTGAATATTAATAAAATTACTGAAAAAATGAGAAGTTTGTATTTATTTCTTTTCAGTGAGAATAAGAACACTGTAAAACGAAACGCAGAAACATAAGCCAGGCCTGACAAGCGCAACATTAAGATAGTTTAGTGTTGACGTTTGTCCTTGATTAACTCAGTGATAAATTAATTCAATTATGACACTAAAATAGGAAAATTAAACCAATTAAACAGAAATAAAAATAAATAAACAGAAGGGAAAAAAACAAAGAAACAAGCATCTGATTTCATCACATCATGTGTTTTCGGGAACTAGTTTGAGAACTTCTGTGTGAAACAACCTTTACATGCTATATATGTAATACAATGTAAAATAATATAAGCACAATTATACCAAGACATTCAAACTTAAAATACCTTCACGTAAGATAAAGTCAAATGTTCAAAGTGTATAACTCCAAAAGTTACCCAATTGCAAAAATAAGATATAATATATAACTGAAGCACCTTTCATTTTTTATTGTAATTATTTTGAATCATATGTTTTTATTCTAATTCTTATAACATATAAAGATAAATACACCTGCATATATTGATATCATTTGCATTAGCTATATGATGACTCAGGTTAACTTTAGGCTCTTATATTATTTTTAAAGGATAAGCCTCGTTATGCCACGCTATGCTGGTGTACCGCCGTCAATCCTTTAGCTGATTTTGTATGACTGTTTAGTTATGTATAATTGTTCTTTGGTTGTTTCTTTTTTTTTACAAACATTCTCTTAACACATCAAAATCCTTTTAAAAACCAAAAACATCAATAAATCAGTAAACACGATATATTCACAAAGCTAATTTCATCGTCCGAGTACAATGAAAAAATCAGTAAAATAATTTTATAAATGATAAATTCAAATTAAATATGTTTTGTATTTTATTATATCACTATGCTAGAGTCATAACAATTCACAACGTTTCCCCCTACTAAACAATCAGTCAGTAATTTCTCTGCAGCTTTTTATATTTTTTCACATGCCATGTGTTTAATAAATACCAACATGAAACCAAAAAACGTTATGTACTGGAAATAGATACACAAACACACCTAGGGTGTTATTGAATTATCCCATGTTTACTTGGTCTCTTTGACACAGACAAATCATTAGGTTGCTTTGACGTCATCTATTGGGTAAATATATGTGATACGTCCCAGTGTCAGGTATGTGGTTTAGGAACAGATATATACAATTCCAACAAATAACTGATTGCATGCGTAAGTCAAGCATTGCAAGAAACAAAGTGAATTGCAAGTACAATAGGTAGATAACATAGTATACACCGACACCGTTGGTGACATATATAAATAACATTGTTCTAAATTTAACCTGTAGCAATTGCAGGCTAAACAAACTGTTATTTAAAAAAACAATGAGTGAATAGATTCATGTAATTGAACGGAAAATGAACAAAAGAGTCATAAACCTACGTAAAAGTACGCACAGAATGTAAAATATTATTAATTTCAAATGGAATAAATTGAAAATAATATTGTCTTCTATATTCTTTTGTGGGAGCAATACAAAATGGCCCGTTTTCCTGATCTTGATAAAAACAAATATATGCCAGGAACGCCTGCCTAATTTGTATTATTACCCCCTGAGTAGACAATCCCGTCAGGGGAAGTGTTGCTAAGGAGAAGCGGTGAAGATAAAAAAATTCGATCATTAGGGAAATGTAATCAGCAGAATCATGTCTTTGTCAGTTATAGAACTAGGTCATAAGTCACGTAATATAATTATCTTAATTATGTACATTGTCTTATATCATTAAACGAAACACGATGCAGATTTATAAGGAATAAAACAGAATATTTAACAACTAAGGTTTCCTCGGAATTCTTTACTGGGACAACGCATGAAAATATATAAACAAAAACAAATATATGAATTTATTTTTTTCAATTTTGAAGTTGTGGATAAATAAAAGTTAATTTGATGTCTAACGATAGCATGTCATTAGCTTAATGGCGTGTGAGCAGTTTATCGTAAATTAGTTTTGCATTAATAACAGTGCTGGTAATTCGTTTATAAAAAAACTAGTAAGAAACATATTTAATAAAAGTGATCAAATTGATGTTGTTTAAATGAAAACACAATATAGATATATCATCAATCAACTATTCAATTGATAGCACCTTACAATATAATCATAAAATGTAATACCACAGCATTATAATATTAAAACATCGTTATGATATAATTGTATTTAATTCAAGATGATGTAAAAAATAATGACAGGTTTTCCTTGAATACATACCTCCAAATCTGTCTTTGTTGATATCTCGAAGTGACCACATGGTCAGATGATTTGCTATTGTATAAAATGACTCAGGTGTTTGAACTTTATGGTCCTCCATTTGTTCAGATTTCAAACTTAAGTCCATTCCTCCCACACGAGAAAACGCCGTTTCGTCCATTTTACTCGTATTTGTAATAATATGTCTATCATTTTCATCGTGGCTTTGTTCATGTTCTTCACTGACTTTTCCATACCGTCTTTTTCCTGATTGTCTCAAGATGCTATCAATCCCGAACGAAAGGTGTGACGACTCATACCTGCTTTTTGGAGAGTTATTTTCGTATTTATCCACGTCTTCTTCTTCTCCACTAGAGGGCGTTGGTAAACTATTTTCCTGTGGCATACCTTGAAATGGTAATCGGTTTCTTCTTTCAATATTTAATTTCTCAACACCGACCCGCGCATAGACCTCATTGTGTGTTGTGATGTCTATATCGAATTTTTCTTCAGCCATTTTGACTTCTGCTCTAATGCGCCAAATATCCGGGCTCTGTTTATAGCCTCCTTTTACCGGAATGAAGAGTTTCCTCTCGTCGGGTCAATTAATACAGCGGATTGGGAGGAGAAGGGGAAACGATGATGATGATGATATGGCCGAGTCAGACAGTTAAATGCTTTAATTTACCAAATAATGAAAGAAAATGACAAACAGTTGTGTTATAGTGGAGTGTTATCTCAGGCCCACTCTGGGCTTCGGCCACGCCCTGACAAGATTAGGTTCAATCGAAGGCGACTAATAGGACATCTGTTTGCCTTGCCCGTTTAATGATCGATATAGCCCCGTCCAGTCAATCACATTAGGCTAAGCACTTGTAAATTTGGCATTCCCACCGACTATTAAAACCCTTTAAATTACCATGAGATCTCACAGATAGAGTGGCCCTGCCTTTCGCTGCAGCGTTATTCTCGAGTCTCTATCAAACCACTGGTCGTGAGGCTATTGATCGAGATGACAAATCAGCTTTATTGCCTTATAATACGCCGATACAGTTTTTGGTTATAACTCCATCTGATCTGCTCGAGCAGACAATTGAATAGGCAGTATCTCCAAGTTAAATAAACAATTATTAAAAGTGAAATAAATATCACACAGCCCTTGGCCTATACGTCATCGATTTGACTGCTGACTCGTGGCGGGCCGGAGGGCATTCTTATCGGTAGACTGCGCCTGGTCCCTGTACGTTCCTATGTACGGGAGCCGACATTCGCTGACGCCTAAGATGTAAAGATTTTTTTAAGGAGAGCGGCACACGAATTCTAAACACGCATGTTACGCCGGCTTGATTATGTGACATAGGAAATATATGGGGAAATTATGGGAAAATTCATATCTAACAGATCACAAACAATTACAAGGGGACTTTGAATTTGTTAAATTTATTTGCAAGGCATCAATTTTATATTGTTCCGTTACGTATTTATAAATTGTTTCATAAACTAGTTAAAGGGTACTTATTTCAGCGCATCGTTCGCAGCCATAAACATATTAATACAAGTTAACCAAAGATTATTTTTGGTTTTATTTGAGCAAATATTTTACACAGTGGTTTAGCAGTTTTTATATTAACACGTTTTTTCATGGAAAATTTTTTACTAAGTTTAGACTGACGTCATCCCTGATGTAATGTGACGTCATTGGTGTTAATAGTTAAATGCCTTCAATCAAGGCAGACACTAAAACGTGTAATTGGAAATCACGACATGCTGACAACAGTAAAATTCCCCAGCGTAGATCAAAACATCTCATGTAGAAAACCCTGTAATATCTATGAAATATATACTATATATAATCACTAACTTTAAAGGTGGGAAAGGATAGGATTAAATTTCAAATAAAAAAAGGATAGAAACAAGGGGAAAAACTTTATGAGCACCTTAAACGCAAAACTGTAGTACTCTGTAAAGAAAAATGAGCAAAACCGGGGAAAAATAGCTAAATTGATTGTACATGGTGCGATACACTGCCGTTCCTAATGCACAATATCAGAATGAAGCATATACAACTTTGCAAGGGTAGGTAACTTTTTTTGTTGCTTAAAATGTTTATACATAACAGAGGATTCTTAAAGTAGAAAGAACAGCTCTGAATTTTTTTTCTTTTCCATATTATAACTAAGACAGTGGTACTCTTTATTTTGAATTTATTATTCATGAAAACATGGTTACTAAACAATTACTTTAATATCTTGAGAATGAATACATACTGCTAGTTCACATCAGCCTAAACATGAACTAAGATTCTATATTTTCAAGAAATCACAATGTGTAAAACCCCCTTCTTCACCAGTATACCAAACCCTTTTCATATTTACATCCTTTGATAAAGCATGTAAACTTGTCAAACAATAAATAAGTACTACAATGTCTTGTCGGGGCCATATCAAGTTTTTTTCCAGAAAGGGCAAGAATCTTCTTACTCCTCGGGTGGGACCAGTCATGATGTTTCCTGTCACATTCGGCAAAGTCAGCTGGTCATCAATGATCTAAAACATATCTTACGAATCTTAAATTAATGCTAGACGCTGAAATAACACTGCAGGAAATTACCGTAATGTTGACGACCGTCAACTACTTGAACGTAGATTGACATTTTTCAGGTGAATACGTACCGTTGTCATTGAACACATAGCATCGTTATAAAGTTGGATTCTTTTGTGTTAAAATTTGTAGTAACGTTCTTACAAATTAATGAATAGTTTTAGTTCTAGATATATCGGGTATGTTTCGTACAATGCACCCTAATACTAGTACACATCCTTCGAATGTATTTAACCAGCAAAATGTATATTCATCCTACTAAGTGACGTGTTATTGTAAAACACAAATCCTTTGAGTAAATAGTGGTGTAATATAATGTTGTTCTGTTATTTAATATCATTCTGTTGCTATGGTAATAATCAATGTTTATATTAGCATGTGTCACACTTTGCTCTAGTCTGTTACGATGTTGGTTTGTTCAATAAGCGACGATGCTGTTGCACACAATGACGTTATCAATCAAACTTACAATCAAATTGCGTAGCCAGGGTTAACTACCGACATCATGACCTAATTAGTGTTTAACATGACTGAAAACATGTTTGCTATGTCCTAGATCTCTGGTAACCGTCAAACTTTCCTGGATATTACGAGAGTCTTGATGACATGGGGACACATGTGGTGAAGAAAATACGTACTCTCCAGAGAATCTGGGTTTTTTAGTCGGATTTATTTATCCAATTGATTCGTTATCTGTTCGTTTCCTGTTGTTGTCCCTCTGTGCTGACTTAACTACCAATGTTGCCTTCGGGAACTGACGCTGAAGTGTAGGTTTGATTTTAGTCTGCTTTATCAATCCAGAGTACCTAGTGACCAGTAAATGAAGGGAGTGCCCAAGAATGCCAGGTACTTTTCTTATGTGACCTCATTTTATTGACATTAAAGAAGGGGGAAAGGACAAAAACAACAAAATAAAAAAGACAAAAACAATATAACACCGAAATGCGTACACAGCAGTAAATCTAACTCAAAATCGATAAAACTGAGGCACTGCATTATGGAAGGACATACTTACATGAAGATCCATTTAAACACAAGGAGAATAAGACCATGCGTTATGGAAGGGTAAGCGTCTTCTGCTTCATTGAGACAGCAAAATAAATTGTATTGTCAAAAGACAAATATATTTGGCAGCAGGCATAGCCTACTTAAGCCCTCTCCAAACACAGTAACAAGCAGTGGTACAAGCATGTAGACATAGACAGTAGAACACATGCAAACACATATATACAAGTTGATACTATAAAATAAATGATCAAATTAGGGGAAACAACTACTAAATCCTATTTTTGTTATAATTGAATGTAATGGTTAAAAGTTTAACCTTTTACTTTGATACCGAAAAGATATATAAAATAAATGCATATTATCAAGACAAAAGAAAAATAATTTGTTGATGGAACTGCATGTATAAACATTTGATGGGATTAAATTACCGCACCCAACAGATACAGGCCAAAAAGTCCATTGTATCACACAAGGTCATCCACTGGTGAGTTTGGATATTCAATCCTCCCAAATAGTTTAATAAACAGGTTAGATGAGTATGATAAGAATGAGATCATCTTTCTGTGGTTTCCAACTTGATTCGATATAAATGCATTTTTAAGTAGTCTTCTATATTGGCGTAATACCTGTCGATACTACACTCATACGACATGTTGTTCTCCAATAATTTTAAATTTCAAATATAATCTACTGAAATGAAAAGAAATAAGCATTTACGAAGACGTAATAACCCGTCCAACCTGGTTTTGAATGTGCTTGATTTCGTTTTATAAGGTCTTCAAATTTAATAAATCAAAAATTATTTCTCCTGTATATCTGTTGAATTTGTTATAGATAAATGCGAATTCAATTTTGTCCTTAAGCGTCAATGGGAGGGTTTTTTCGAATTTTTGTTGTTGAAGCTGTGTGTTTTGGTATACAAAATGATGTATTTATCTGAATACAAAACAGCTGCGATAACCATTATACAAGGTGAGACATTGATTTGGCGGAAGGTACGTCATTATTCGGAGTCATCGTCGATTTCAGAGACAAAACGCACGTATCATTGAAAAGAAAGTCGTAAAGCGTTTCTCGTTTCGCGCCGGCACAACAACCAGACAGCACTTCGCAATATAATAAGGGAATTCATATGAATTAAGTGTTTCTGTTTTCACACCAAAACGTAAATTCTGTAAATCTGTATGTAAGGAATGTGTTTTATTCTCCCATTTTCCTCTCAAATAATGGAAAGGTTACACGACTGCACAATTTTCGTCTACTCTTAATCGCGTAAATCAAGACAAGAGTCATGACCTGTCTGGGACCTTAATGTAGGTTTTTTTCAAAATGTTTCAAAGTGGCTTTTACAAGTACTTCTTAAAATAAGATATGTAGTGTTCAGCAAATTCTAAATGTATCAAATGTAAGATTCTTACATATTTATAATACATACCAAAAGAGATTGCGTCCATAGTGTTATGAAAGCAATTTGATCAGCGTCATTTTGAAGATTCTCCTCCTGCCTTGAATAACAAGTGACAGTCATTAGAAACAAACACTTTGGTGATATTAGGCTGTTCCATGAATAGCATTTGCACTGACAGCACAGAAAATTCAATATATAGATCAATAATACCTATAAAAACAAGAAAGTAATAATATGCATTGTTCAGCATTTCTCAATGTTCATGCCGGTATGAACATTCAACAAAATGCCGCTCAATCCTTATAATGTCATTTATTTGCCATTTTCAAAATACGAATTGGTAATACCGTGTTTAATTAAATTTGCAGACGGTGACATTATGTATAAAACGTGTGTTATCCTTATCACTCCAGAACAAAAATGTTTAAAAAGTATTATTAACGTTAATTATAGATAGCGTTGTCAGTAATACTGTTCCATGAATTGTTACCATATTAGATGGCTCATAACTTCGCTCTGATTAAGTAAACGCGTAACTGATGAAAATTTTGGATGTGTATAGTGTTATAGCATTAAACACATTGTATAGCACTAAGTTCTGAATAATTCTATTTTTTACATCTTTTATACCAAGAAGTATATATGTGTGTTACGTTAA